ACCAAACACACACTTATCGGGGTTCAGCTTTATGCGGGCGGAGCGGAGGTTCTCAAAAGTTTCCGCTAGATCTGAAAGTAAAGTTTCTTGGTTGCGCGTTTTTACAACCAAGTCATCGACATAAGCCTCAACATTACGTCCTATTTGGCTACCCAAAGAAATTCGAGTAGTACGTTGAAAAGTAGGACCTGCATTCTTTAACCCGAAGGGCATTGATGTATAACAATAGGTTCCTATGGGGGTAATGAACGCAGTTTTCTCCTCATCCTCCCTAGCCATGCGAATCTGATGGTAACCTGAGTATGCATCTAGAAAACACAAAAGGTCGCACCCCGCAGTGGAGTCGACGATCTGATCTATGCGAGGCAGGGGGTAAGGATCCTTAGGACATGCCTTGTTAAGGTCGGTGTAGTCGATGCACATCCGAAGCTTGCCGTTCGCCTTGGGAACGACCACCGGGTTCGCCAGCCACTCCGGATGGATGACTTCACGGATGAATCCGGCCTCCAGAAGTCTCGCCACCTCCTCGCGGATGAAGGCTTGACGTTCCGGGGCCTGCCGCCGCACTTTCTGCCGGACCGGCCTTGCGCCCGGCCGCACGGCGAGACGGTGCTCAATCACCTCCCTGGGGACCCCGGGCATGTCCGCTGGTCTCCATGCGAAGACGTCAGCGTTTGCCCGCAGGAAGGAGACGAGCGCGTCTTCCTATTTGCCATCCAGAAGACCACCGATCCGTGTGGTCTTGGATGGGCCGTCGCCCAAGGCAACCTCCTTGACCGGGACCTCGTCGCATGTGGCAATCCGCTGCCTCGGGGCGGTGGGGGCGGAGGTGCCAAGCCTCTCGTCACCACCCTCGGGCTTGGTCGCAGCAGCGAGGTGGTCCGCGCGCTGCTCCATGCAAGCGAGCGCGACTTTAAGGTCGCCACGGACAGAGATGGGGCCACCGGGGCCCGGCATCTTCATCTGGAGGTAGGCGTAGTGGACCGCCGCCATGAACTTCACCAACGCGGGTCTCCCTAGGACCGCGTTGTAGGGCAGACTGAGGTCCGCCACATCGAAGTTCACCCGCTCCGTGCGGAAGTTGGCTGATCCACCAAAGGTGACCGGTAGGTCGATGTGACCTAATGGCCATGTGTGCCCCGGTGTCACACCGATAATCGGTTGGGACGGCCGGAGCACCATCCCCGGGGCCTTGATAGCATCAAAGGCCGCGGGGGAAAGAATGTTGAGAGCCGCTCCTCCATCTATGAGGACACGTCCCAACTTCACATTGCAGATGGTGGGGGAAACCACCATCGCAATCTGCCCTCCCCGGGCAACGCACGGTGGGTGGTCGGTCTGGTCAAAAGTGAGGGCCACCTCCGACCACCGCGCCCGACGCGTCGCCTCATGAGTAGGGGCCGCGGCGAGAAGCTCTCGCCTCATGGCCTTGAAACTCCGGCGAGAAACGTGAGCACACGCTCCCCCGTCGACAGTGGCAATGGTGGCCCCAGGTTCTTGGAAACCTAGGTCATCATCACCGTCATCGATGTCAACGGCGGGGGCCTTCTGTTTGGCCTCACTTCGCCGTTTACCGGAGGGAACTGCCGCGGACTTGCCCTCACGGCGTTCCTGCCTCCTGTCCTCCTCCCACTTCCTCGTTCGCTCAGCCAAGTTTTTGACTGCGCGACAGTCCGCGAGATCGTGGAGGGAGGTGTTGTGGACGGAGCACCACTTGCTGGCTGGGCGCTCCCTGCTGGGAGTACCAGCCTCTTTCTTTTTGTCGCTCGCAGGCCTCCCCTTTCGGGTGGCCCGCGGAGCGCCCTCGACGGCGAGGACGTGACCCTCGTCGCCGGAATGGACCGACCTTTTCTTCCTCCTCCTGTCACGCCGCCCTGTCTGAGCGGCGGATCCGGGGGCGGCCGAAGCTGCCACACCGGAACCGGAGGGGTTCCAGGTCCAGGCCTCCTCCTTACGAGCCACTCGGTCCGCGAGCTGAAAAAGTTCTGCGGTAGTCTGGGGCTCTTTGGAGGCAATCTTTTCGAGCATGCGGTTGTGCCGCACACCCCCCCTGAACGCGTAGATCACCGCGTGTGCAGGGATGCAAGGTATAGTATTGCGGACTTGGCAGAAACGCTGAATGTACGAGCGAAGGGATTCATCATCCCCTCGCTGTACTGCGTGCAAGTCCGCTTCTTCACCTGGGCGTGGATAGGTGCCTTGAAAGTTCATGGTGAACTGCTGGCACAGATCCTCCCAGGAGTGGACCGACGCGGGTGGCAGGTTCATTAGCCAACCCCGCGCCTGTCCCTTCAGGGCCATGGGAAAGAAATTCGCCATGACCCTGTCGTCTCCCCCAGCGGCCTCGATCCCGGTCGTATAGACCTGGAGAAACTCGGTGGGGTTGACGCTCCCATCATACTTCTCGGTGATGGTGGGCCGGAACCTTGGGGGCCAACGAACATTCCGAAGACTCGCCACAAAGGCTCTACAGCCAACACCACCAACCGGGGGCACGGAGGGCTGGTCCTTACGTCCATGTCGAGGTGACACCCTGGACGAAGAGGCACCCTCCGTTGCGCGGGGAGCACGCCGATCACTACGTCGGCGCTCGATGTCGAGGCGGGCATCCGGCTCTTCATGCTGATCCTCCCGAGTCGGAGGCGCCGACGAGGGAGTGGTAGCCAAATGGCGTGCAGCAGCCGCCGCTCGCCGCGCCCTCCGCCTTGATGACACAGAGCCGGTGGTGGCGGCGCCGGAGGTCCTGGTGGTGGCGGACCGTCCACCAGCACCCAGGCGCTGCTGTGCCGTCATGACCAAGTTGGCCACGTCGTCCAGCCATCGCTGGGCTGGAGACTCCGGGTCAGGGACGACGGGCGGGTGACGTAGGAGCGCGCCAGCAGCCTGAAGCACTCCCTGGGGCGTGCTGCCGTCACCGTAGACGAGGAGGCGACGCTCCCCGTCTCGCCGCTCTCCTGCATCACCTGCGACTGGTGATGCTATGGGTTTTTCAACCCTCTCGAGCGCCTCCCCCCGCTTAGGACTTTGGCGCGGAGGAGGTGGGGGAGTACGAGCTCGATGGCGCGGGTTTGGCTCCCCGTCGTCGCCGCTCACACTCGGAGAGAGGTCGTGCGCCTTTGCTTGCTCGGCCATTAGGCTGAACAAGGGAAACTTGGCGCACACGGAAGAGTATGAGAGCTCAGAAAACACACGCTGAGCCCCCTACCTGGCGCGCCAGATGACGGAGCTCGTGGCTCCTCACCGGGAGACCGCGCAGGCCCCCCTTTGCCAGTTCGGCCGGGGGCTTAGGGTGAGATCTCAAGCTCTCTCTGTATGTGGAAAGATCGCGTGCCAGGAAGAAACGCGAGACACGGACGATGTTTACAGGTTCGGGCCGCTGGGAAGCGTAATACCCTACTCCTGTGTTTTTGGTGGATCTGTGTAAGAGCAAGTTACAAAATATCAACCAGCCCTCTCCTCTCCCGGGAGAATCCAGTCCCCTCTCTTTGTGGGCATGGTCCTCCTTTTATATCTTAAGGGGATACCACATGTACCCTTCCCTTTCCAAACTGGACTTTTCTTCTCTTTATGGACGGAGATTGGTATGGTTGCCGTCCGAATGACACTTCGATGGGACAGCCCACACCTACCTCCACTCCCGGCGGAGACAGGCGCAACGTGGGATCGTGGCTGTCTGTTGCTGACGCGACCAGTGTCAGACCGGTCACAGATCGGTCATTCTTGTCCTCTATGCGTCAGTTCAGCGATCTGCATGATCACCCTTCTTTTTGTAGCATCTTGCCTGTAATGGTTGGGATGAAGCCTGGTATTCATCTAACCAGGGCTAACGTGTCATCTCTAAGAGGTAACACGCTAGCTCCGGCTGGAGACGTGTGCCTAGAGGCTCTCGTCTTGACGGGACGGGGCGAGGCGTGCGTCAGACCGCCAGTCGCCACCTAACCGTTGATCCGACCGGTCTGTGACTGGTCACAGACCGGATAAAAGAGCGCGCTGCATTGCGCTGCATGCAGCGTGACACGCTTGACCAGACCGCAATAAATGCGGTTAGGTGAGCCCTACCGTGTTCACCCAACCTATGTACATAGTGCAAACCCCACAGGGGGTCGGGGCACCTCGGCCCTCAGGGCCGGGGCAGGAGCAACCCGACCCCCCCTCGGGGAAATCAGGAGGAGGGCGGACACCTCACCCTCGGGCCCGACGTCCCCGAAGGTGCCAGGCCACGTGGGCGATTCCATCTGCCTCAAGCCTCCGGGCGCAATACTCCCGGTCCCATATCACCGACAGTGAGGAAGAAAAAAATCACAGCACACACATATGTGTAAGGATTTGTTCCCACAACCTCCATTTTACCGAAATAACATATTACAGAGAGATTTTTGAAAGTTACATACAAGTTACACTATAGATACAATGTAATTACATGCAAGTTACAGTGTAATTACACTACGATTGTACTGTAATTACATCTGTCAAATTTTTGGGAGAAAATTTGTCGACAAATATATAGCAAAATCGAGCCATAATTAGCATGTCCCTTTGAATCCCTTTCTGGCCCAACTGTAACGGGCCGCACGGACCTCACATAACTTTTCAGGCCACTAAACAGTCTCGTGTTCATGGTTCACCGAGAGAGAACCTCGCAGCAGTAGTACGGCAGCTGGAGTCACCGCCCGCCGGCACTGCCGCGCGCGTCCGCGAACACAACGAAACGCAAACGGCCAAGCAGAAGCCATGGTGCTCGATCGCTACGGAATAAAATGAGGGTTGTTCACTGCCGCCGCCATTAACAGGCAGCTGCTCCGACTCACGGTCTGGAGGCAGAAGGAATCAAGGAATCAGGGCAATAAGATGCGATATTGCGATGGGCTTGCTTCAAGATCCAAAGGAGGCCAAGCCGCCACATGAGGGGGAAAAAAAGGAGTATTATATTGACCTCGAGCAGTGCTCACAAATGTCCTTTACCTAATTAGGAGTAATTACCTCACCAAAGCAGTGTTTCAGCATCTAAAAAAAAAAGAGGGATCGGCGCAGTGAGGTGTGCGTCACACAAAGCAATTTAAGCAAAGCAAGCGCCGCAGATAAAGCTTCAAATTCAGTCAACCATGGCGGATGCTGTCGCCGCAGCCGCGGAATTCGGGCCACGCCAAAAGATGACGCTCGATGCGGATTTGGTACAGGTGCTCACCGACGGCGACGCGGTCCGCATGGAGGAGCTGTTGATGGGGAGAGAAGGCTGCGGCAGCGACGACGGTGGCTACCGTCGAACAGACGCCCTGCAGGTCTCAATCAACGTCGGCGCCGCGGCCCTGCGTGCAGCGGCGCCGCGGACAGGTACGAGCTCCCTCCTTGGGGTGACGAGCAACGGGAACACGGCATTGCATCTCGTCGCCAGCCGCGGCCACGTCGAGCTCGCGAAGCTCATCAGCGAGACGGCGCCGTCGCTGGTCGCCACGAGGAACAAGTGCCTCGACACGCCGTTGCACTGCGCGGCGAAGGCTGGGCACCGGGATGTAGCAGACTGTCTCTTGCCGATGATGCGCGCCGCCGAGGGGACGGCGCCTCTGCGGGCGATGAACCAGCTGGGCGCCACCGCGCTGCACGAAGCCGTCCGGCACGGCCGTGCTGAGGTGGTGGATCTATTCATGGCGGAAGCTCCCGAGCTGGCCGCAGTAGCATCCGGCGATGGCGTCTCGCCGTTGTACTTGGCGGCGACGACTGGTAGTGGTTCGGTGTGTTTGGTTGCGGCGCTGCTACGTCCGTCACGTGACGGGATGCCGTCGCCGGCATCGTTCGCTGGCCCGGAGCCGGAGGGACGTACGGCTTTGCATGTTGCGGCAGCTATCAGCCAAGGTACAAATGAAATTTCATAATGTTGTTTTGTGTATAGAACATTAATTGTTCTATTTTTGCCATGAGCTAGTTAATTAGTACTGCAGCCCTACCAATTTAACCGCAGAAGTATATTGACTATAAAGAGCTGCATGATTTTGTTGTCGTTATGAAACTAAGCAAATTCAAACCATTGGTTTGCGTCCATTTCCATTTATTAGATTTGCTTCTAGTTAGATTATCTCCAACGGAACATCTAAACTAAGCTCCCAAATAGATTTTGAGGTAAAGGAAGAAAAATCAAGGTACAAAACTCTGGCTGCGTTTAGTTCCACTCTAAAATTAAAAGTTTGAAGAAATTAAAATGATGTGATAGAAAAGTTGAAAGTTTGTGTGTAGAAAAGTTTGATGTGACGGAAAAGTTGAAAGTTTGAAGAAAAAAAGTTAATTAGAATCTAAACAGGGCCTCTATTAAACCTCCAAAATAGAAAGGCACCCAAATCCCTCACAAATTTTGACAATTTGACCCTTTGCAAAAACTATTTTTACAAATGAACCGCTTCCAAAACTTATTTTAAATCTGACCCTTTTGCTCAACACCAAATCATGTGGCGCTGAACTTAGACACCTCAGCGCCAAATAGCATGGTGCTGAATGTACGTTGGCACGCTGACTTTAGTCTCCCATCCGCCGTGGCACGGCATTCAGCGCCAGATGACGTGGCGCTGAGGTGTCTAAGTTCAGCGCCACATGATTTGGCGTTGAGCAAAAGGGTCAGATTTGAAATAAGTTTCGGCAGCGATTCATTTGTAAAAATAGTTTTTGCAAAGGGTCAAATTGTCAAAATTTGTGCAAATCCCTCCCCTATCTCTCAGTAAGGCTCTCGACCCAAACCCATCTCATTTTTATTTTTTTGGCACGGCTGAAAAATCCACACTGCCACATTTGCAGTCGCTGACATGCTGCCGCCCTCCCTGATGATGATGTTAGGTCCACCAATCGTAGGCCACCCATGTCACATTGGGCTTGTTCCACCACAAGTTCAACCAGAGCCACAACTTTAAGTCTTAGACCTGCACAACCCAAAAAAAACTAGTCCTGGACCTGCTCCACCACAGGCTCAACCGGAACCACAACTTTAGATCATGGGCCTACACAATACAAAAGACTCTGCCTCTGACACCACTTGTTAGGCCTACCAACCATAGGCCACCCAAGTCACATTGGGCCAGACTCTGGGCTCTGATACCACTTGTTAGGCCTACTAACCAACTATAGGCCACCCAGGTCACATTGGGCCTGCTCCACCACAGGCTCAGCCGGAACCACAACTTTATGATGGGTCTACACAACCCAAAAGACTCTGGGCTCTGATCCCACTTGTTAGGCCTACCAACCATGGGCTACCCATGTCACATTGGGCCCGCTCCACCTCAGATCCAACCAGAACCACAACTTTAGGTCATGGGCCTACACAACCCAAAAGACTAGTCTAATAGGTGATGTTTGCCTCCACCTTTTAAGTTGTGCTCCTCCATCATCAATTACCAATGCGGGACTACTTGTTAGGCCTACCAACCATGGGTCACCCAAGTCACATTGGGCCTGCTCCACCACATGCCCAACCGGAGCCACAACTTTACGTCATGGGCCTACAAAACCCAAAAGATTAGTCTGATAAGTGATGATTGCCCCCAGCTTTTAAGTCGTGCACCCCCATCATCAATTACCGATATGGGACTAAACCTAACAATTGTTCCGGTTTCCAAACCTGGGCTCTAATACCACTTGTTAGGCCTACCAACCATGGGCCACCCATGTCACATTGGGCCTGCTCCACCACAGGCCCAACAGGAGCAACCATGGGCCACCCAGGTCACATTAGGTCTGCTCCACTACAGGTCCAACCGGAGTCACAACTTTAGGTCATAGGTCTACACAACCAAAAATACTAGTTTGATAGGTGAGGATTGCCCCCACCTTTTAAGTCGTGCTCCCCCATCATCAGTTACCGTTATGGGACTAAACATAACAATTGTTCCGGTTTCCAAACTTGGGCTCTGATACAACTTGTTAGCCCCACCAACCGTGGGCCACCCAGGTCGCATTGGTCCTACTTCACCAGAGGCCTAACCGGAGCCACAACTTTAGGTTCTAGGGTACGTGGGCCACCCAGGTCACATTGGGCCTGCTCCACCACATGCTCAACCGGAGCCACAACTTTAGGTCATAGGACTACACAACCCAAAAGACTAGTCTCATAGGTGAGGACTGCACCACCTTTTAAGTCGTGCTTCCCTCTCATCAATTACCGATGTGGAACTAAATCTAACAATTGTTCAATTACCGATGTGGGAATGAACATAACAATTGTTCCGGTTTTCAAACCTGGGCTCTGATACCACTTGTTAGGCCCACCGACCATGGGCCACCTAGGTCACATTGGGCCTGCTCCACCACATGCCCAACCGGAGCCACAACTTTAGGTCCTGGGTCTGCACAACCCAATCTTTTAGGTGAGGACTGCCCCCACCTTTTAAGTCACGCTCCCCTACCGATCATCAATTACCGATGTGGGACTAAACCCAACAATCTCCCCCGTCACATCAACCCATGTGACCCCGATATCAATTCCCGATGTGGGACAAAACCATTTTCAAACTTGGGCTCTGATACCACTTGTTAGGCCCACCAACCGTGGGCCACCCAGGACACATTAGGCCTGCTCCACCACAAGCCCAACCGGAGCCACAACTTTAGGTCTTGGGTCTGCACAACCCAAAAAATAGTATGATAGGTGAGGACTGCCCCCACCTTTAAGTCACGCTCCCCATCATCAATTACCGATCATCAATTACAATTACCGATGTGACCCCCGATATCAATTCTCGATGTCAGACTAAACCCAACAATCTTTGACGTAAGTCGTGCTACCCATTATCAATCACATCACATCAACCCATACCATGACCCCGAAAACTTGTTACCTATTGTTCACCATGACCCAAAAGACTTGTTACCTATTATTTCGGGTTCCAATCCTGGGCTTTGATACCACTTGGCCCTGTTACCTATTGTTCCGGGTTCCAATCCTGGGCTTTGATACCACTTGGCCCACCAACCGTGGGCCACCCAGGTCACATTGGATCTGCTCCATCACAGGCCCAACCGGAGCTACAACTTTAGGTTCTAGGCCTATACAACCCAAAAGACTAATCTGATCGGTGAGGTCCGTCCCTACCTTTTAAGTCATGTTCCTCCATAATAAATTACTGATGTAGGACTAAACCCAACATATGAGCTGCCCGTGAATGACAACGTCCCTCTTCAGGAATTTCTTGGCCTTGCTCTTACTGGCAGCGGCGATGTTCCTGTTGCGCGAACGTCTAACGAGCAGAGGTGGTACATGACCAAACTGCTTATCACTAGGCTCATATTGATTTTCAGATTGATTTGAAGATTAGACCGTCCACCGAGCAGAGCTGGTGCATGAACATTCATTTGTTCATATTGATTTGCACTCAACAGACATATACCTAGAACAGCCGAGATGACATTAGTTTGCACGCTTCAAAGTCTCTTCCTTGAATTGCAAATTTACTGAAACTTCGGTTTCAAGTTTTCTCCCATTAAATTTACATTGGAATGCTAGGATTGGTCTTTGGATGGATGGAGTATACAAGATTACAAGCGCTATGACATACTATGCGTCTATGCGATAGGCATTCGCAAAAATGCATGGGAAATGGATAAGGCTTGGTTTGAAATTTAGGTTGGGGTGAGCTTTTTTTTAGCACGGAAAACAAAATAAGTCATTAGGATATGACTAATTAAGTAAAAGCTATTGAAAACTTAAAAATAGATTTATTTAATTTTTTTAAAAGAAACTCCTAGAAAAAATATAATGTTTAAGTATTACCTCTGTCCTAAAATGTAGCTATTTTAGCACAATGTCTTGTCACAAGATGAAGCTATTTCTTCACCTACCTCCTCCTCTCAACCAATCACAACCATTCTTCTTTACTTACTTTCTCTTTTCAACAAATCACACACTTCCTACAATCATTCTCACATACTTTCTTAATACCCGTGTCAATCTTAAAAAGACTATATTTTAGGACGGGGGAAGTAGTCTGAGAATGGTGCTCACAGAAAATCGTGAAGTAGCTCTCCTGAACTTCTCTTTACAACTCGGCCTAGGGTAGAAAGAGGGGAAGTTTCTTGTTGTTTGCGGATATTTGTCTCGTTGTCTCTATAATTGACTGGAGCATGATGGTTTTGTAGAATTGTGTAAAATCAAAGGTGTTTTTGATTATTATTCTGTGATGAACAATTGGAATTGGAGTTTATTGGTTTTGATATTTGGAATTTATTTGCGAAATGGTTTTGGAGATGATTGGAATTTTCAGGTGATCTACAGGAACTGCTGCGGTTTGGGTTCGGTCAGACCAGGCTGTGTATGCCGATCAGACCGGCGGTGATCAAGCGGTCAGATCGGCCAGCTCGCGGTCTGACTGGTCGACGCTGTGTCGGTTTCGGTTTCGGGTTGTTTATTGATTGTTTCATATTTATGGCTTCTAGATGGATACTATACATATGTAATACTGTTGTTTGCTACTAATAAGTCAAGTTGGGGATAGCTTGGTCTGGGAATATGGTTTCTTTGTTTGATTCATGTGTAGGTGACTTGATGCCTCGGGAGAGTATTTGCGGTGATGGATCGAGAGTCGACTTGGTGGTAAGGCGATGTCCGTGACTGTTAGATATCATGCGAGATACTTTGGCTAGAGTTCAATGCACGTGGTTGGTGATGATTCTATATGGCATATGATGGAGGTATTGTGTACGTATGGGTTGTGGAGTCGAATTTGGAAGGAGTACAAATTTGGTATGATTGGTTATGTAAAGTTTATTTCTTGTACGAGAAGGTTTCCTAGGGTGATTAGAACTTCTAGTATGAGTTTGGTTCGTGGCTTTAGGCTGCCTACCTCATATATAAATAGAGAGGGAGCGTGAGACTTCCCGGTATCGCTTCTAAGAGAAATTGAGTTTCTAGTTTAGTTAGGGTTTTGAGTTTAGTCGAAATTTTTGTAAGGAGTGCTGTTGGTGTACTTTGTAAACACAGAGAAAAGCAATAAAGTTGTCATCTACTTTGAGAGTTCTTCTATTTGTGTTTTCTTGGGTGCGGCGGTCCAACCGGCGAGACACCGGCAGTCAGACCGGTGGCATCGCGTCGGTCAGACCGGCGGAGGAGCGGTGCTCATCAAACCGGCGGCGGCGACAGGAGCTGGCAGGCGATCTCAGCGGTTCGACCGAAGTTCCAACTTCGGTCAGACCGACGTTCTTCAGGCAGTCAGATCGGCATATACACTTCGGTCAGACCGCAATCTGTCGAATTTGAGGGTAACTTTTAATTCCGCTAAAAGTTTTGGTTTTTGGGTAAGCCAACCATTCTCCCCCCTTTGGTTGGCTTAGTTCTTGTGTTTCGATCCTACAAATTGAATTAGGCTCTGTTAAGACCCCACCGTAAAATTTTTCATCCTATTATATTGAACGTTTGAGCACCTGCATGAAGTATTAAATATAGGGTAAAAAAATAACTAATTGCACATATTGCGACTAATTTGCAAGACAAATCTTTTAAGCCTAATTGCTCTATGATTTGACAATGTAGTGCTACAGTAAACATTTGCTAATGACGGATTACACCTCTGGATCTAAACACCCCTGAGTGATTTTTCAGGTGATCGTCAGTTGCGCTCTGTTTCTAGCTGAGGTTTGGTGTGTATTGTAGAGAACTGATTTAGCTTCTCATGATGCTTAATTTGCATAACGTTTTGCCCCTGGAGGGCATTTCCTTTTGATTAAATTATAATTTAGTGGATGTTTTTATCAGTTTACTTTTTGGTGCTGTATGGTGTCTCTGAGATGGTTTCTGAACCATTGCATGCCTTCTGATCTTACTGGGAGACCATCATCAACGTTGTCCAAGAAACGAAGGAAAAAAGAGGAACCGTTTATATTTAAGAAAAATATATAGTGAAAATTACTGTTGAATCCAAAAATAGACTTTTAAAAATTTGTCTACGTCATTAAGACTCAAGAGTAAAAAAAATTTACTCCCAGTAAAACTTTTACTCATAATTAAATTTACAAGTAAAACTTTTACCCTTGATAAAATTAACAAATTCCATGCATCTATTTTTATCTAATGATAACTTTTAGGTTTGCACCACATATTTTCGGTTTATCTGTTTCAATTTTAAAAGCTGAGCAGTTCTGCAGTTGGGACTTGCAGCGCGAGGGGAGGAGAGAGAATACGGCTTTTTGCCGCCACTGCCACTCGTGAGACCCCCAATCCTCGCATGCCAACTCACCTGTGTTGCTTTTGCCGGTAGCTATATGGGGATTTTTTTTTTGTTGACTACTAGTCTCCGTTTCAGCGAAATCAAGTGATGGAATGGAATAGCGCGAAATGGATTTTTCAACCGGGTTTAGATCAATTACCTTTCACCTTCTCGTCTAGACCAGCCAAAGCCATAGCCGAAACTCACGGTCACGGTGCGTCCATGGATTTCGGACCTTGCAACGAGACGCTCGACACCGAACTGCTACACGTGCTGACCTCCGGCGACGAGGTCCGCATGGCGGACCTGCTGGGCAGAGAACGCCGTGGCCATGGCCACTCCCTGTCCCAGGTGGCGATACGCGTCGACGACGACGACGACGGCCGCGCGCCGGCGGGAGCGAGCCGCCTCCTTGGCGTGACGACGGGCAACGGCAACACGGCGCTGCACGTGGCCGCCACCCGCGGGCACGCCGCGCTCGCGGCGCTGGTCTGCGCGACGGCGCCCGCGCTGGCCGCCACGCGCAACAGGTTCCTCGACACGCCTCTGCACTGCGCGGCCAAGTCCGGGCACCGCGACGTGGCGGCCTGCCTCCTGTCAGAGATGCTGCGAGCCGGCGGCGCGGCGTCAGCGGCGCTGCCGCTGCGGCGGGCGACGAACTGCCTGGGCGCCACCGCCTTGCACGAGGCCGTGCGGAACGGCCACGCCGGGGTGGTGGCTCTCCTCATGGCGGAGGCTCCCGAGCTGGCCTCCGTGGCCAACGACGGTGGCGTCTCGCCGCTGTACCTGGCGGCGACGGTTGGCTCCGTGGACATTGTCCGGGCGCTGCTCCACCCGTTGCCTGATGGAACGCCCTCGCCGGCCTCGGCCGCTGGTCCGGACGGACGGACAGCTTTGCATTCTGCGGCAACTACTAGCAAAGGTATGATCACAAACACGCGAGCAATTTGTGAATGACACATGAAAATTCAAAGTCAATTTATGTCTTTAATCAGAAATCGCGCGAGAAATACTGGACTGGAAGCCAGAGGGTCGAACACTGCTAACCAAAGCTGATTCGTCGGGCAGAACACCTCTCCACTTTGCTATATCATCACAAATTGAGCGGTTTGACGTGTTTCAGCTGTTCCTAGATGCAGAGCCCTCCCTAGCTCTGGTTTGTGATATCCAAGGATCATTTCCTTTGCATGTTGCTGCTGTGATGGGCAGTGTTAGGATCGTCGTTGAGCTCATACAGAAATGCCCCAACAACTACAACGATTTGGTCGATGATCGAGGAAGAAATTTTCTGCATTGTGCTGTTGAACATAACAAGGAAAGCATAGTTCGCTACATTTGCCGAGATGACAGGTTTGGTATCCTGATGAATGCAATGGACAATGAAGGAAATACTCCCCTCCATTTGGCCGCCGAGTATGGGCACCCAAGGATGGTCAGTTTACTCTTGGAGACGATGAGCGTCGATGTAGCCATTACCAACAGGGATGGTCTAACTGCTGCTGACCTTGCTTATCGCCATCTGCAACCTGGTTTGCACTATTTTCTGGTAATGGAACACGGTTCAGTTCATTAGTTCATCACAATTGGTTATCACGCAGCTGCAGAGAATCGTTTCATGTGCTGTCCTGTTTACTTGGCCAATTAATCTGTCTTCTTTCTTGTGATAATTTTTGTGTACAGAATCCTCGAGCCGTGGTAAAGAATCTCTTCTACTGCACCAGAGCACCGGTTACCCTAGAAGGGGATCATGCTAGGACTGGCATCCCATCGGCCATGGAGGATGCCGATGCTCCCAAGGACAGTGGTGGCGTGACATCCACCGGAACAGTCGCGTCCGTGCTGATCGCCACGGTGACGTTCGCGGCGGCTCTCACCGTTCCGGGGGGCTACGTCGCCGACGACCACCCGAACGCCGGGACGGCGGCGTCGGCCGGGCGGTTCGCCTTCAGGGCGTTCGCGGTGTCGGACACCATGGCGTTCCTCTGCTCCATCGTGGGCACCTGCCTCCTCGTCGTCGGCGAGGCGAGGGAGGTCCGGCCGAGCAGGGGCCGTCTCCGCGCCTACCAGGGGTCGGCGTGGGCGCTCGTGACGGCCGGGGCGCAGTTCATGGTCGCCGCGTTCGCGTTCGGGCTCCAGGTCGCGCTCGGCGGCGGCGCGGACAGCCGGTGGCTGGTGGTGTTCGTCCACGCGCTGTGCTCGGCATCGGTGCTGCTCTGCTTCCCGGGCATCTGGGCGCCGTTCTGCCTCGGGAAGGTGATCTGGAGGCGCGCCGGATGGCGAGGGCTCACGAATCTTCACCGGTGTCCGTCCAGTTTGGAAGAGTTCTTGTGGTGTTTCGTGACAAGCTTCTTGGCCAAAACTCTCTTGCGGACATTCCTCCCGGTGCTTATCGCGGTCACCTTGGTCGTCGCCATCGTGCTAAATATTGCAAAGCCCAACTGCTGAGTCGGCAAGAATTTGAGGATCGGAAGTCGTTAGTACTAGTTGGAGTATATTATTATAGCGTATGTGTTGAATGAGTTTTGACGTATTTGCCTGCCATTCTATCAAGCTTTCGATGCATTTTGTGTTGCTATTGTTTGCTACTGAAATCGATCGAAACAGCAGTACAACACACCATACCAGATCCGTTGCCAGAGCTATAGCATGACTGCATGACGTGCCGAAGTGATCCCCAAATTCTCAGTTAGCCAGGGCTCCCCGTACGCCGACAAGTGATTGGCAGCGGAAGAGAAGACCATCGATCCTGTCAAGTGTAACAGGTGGCCTGTTACAGGCCACACGTCACTCGCAAATTCGTTTGGGCCCAACAGGCCGCACCTAGCTGGACGGCCCAACTATAATGATGGGCCATGTCCTTGTATAACGGAACAATAGTGAACAGTGGACTAGGGGGCGTCGCAGGGGGAGGGGCGTGCGCGGCTGCGCGCACGCATTAGCATCCCCCCTTCTCTCCCCTTGCCAAGTACTCCCTCAACTCGTAAAGGAAGTCGTTTTAAACAGCGACACGGTCTCCAAAACATAATTTTGACTTCTTGTTTATATAAAAATATTTATTGAAAAGTGATATATGTATACTTTTATGAAAATATTTTTCAAGGCAAATCTATTCATATAATTTTTACATTTTCAAACTCAACAACTTGAGAGTTATTCATGATTTATATTCCCAAGGTTTGACTTAAACATTGTCCCAAACGACTTCCTTTACGAGTACGGAGGGAGTACATTGTGGGTGATAGTATACGCACTGCTGTCGGAGCTGGGGGTCCTCATCGGTAAGTATCCTATATACTACCTCCGTCCCAAAATAAGTGCAGCCGTAGATATCCGTACCCAACGTTTAACCGTCCGTTTTATTTAAAAAATTTGTAAAAAAATTAAAAGTATTTAGTCACACATAAACTACTGTTCATGTTTTATCATCTAATAGTAATAAAAATACTAGATATAAAAATTTTTTAAATAAAATGAATGGTCAAACGTTGAACGTTAATAGTGCAAAACTGCACTTTTTTTGGGACGGATGGTGCAGTACTTATATAGTTCATCCCCACTAAGTTTAGTTAATGTTATTTCTCTTTTCTCTCATTAAGCCACATCATCTCAATTATTTTTAGCTTTTGAATGATAGATCTATAGTCTAAATGGTCTTTTCTTTCTTCTCTCATAAAACATAAAATCTCAATTTTTTAGGCTTAAAATTGTATCAAATTGTTTTAGTTTTGATAATCAAATTATATTTTATTTGTACATATTATGTAACTTAATTTTCCGCAGCAACGCGGCGGGGTATTCATCTAGTATTCTTAGAGCAGACCGCAGCAACGCGACGGGGTATTCATCTAGTATTCTTAGAGTAGATACAATAGCAGGCTATAAGCCAGCTATAAATATATTTTAAAGAGATAAAAGGAAGAGAGAGAAGAGCAACCAGCAGCTGCAGCACGGACTCCAAGACATAATGTGTATATGACATGTGAGACTATGTATTAATAGTATAGTAATCAACTATTGTATGAATTGGCTATTTCATTGGCTATAGATGATTTAAAATTAGTAGAACTTGCTCTTAGGCTGATCAGCCAAATAAGCCTTTTTTTCAATTCAGGCTTGCGTCGACCTCGAGCCGGCCACGCGGGCGTGGAGGTCGCCGAAGTGCGCGGCGGCATCAGCGAGAAAGGAGGCTTGCCATGCGGGAACGCGGAGGTCGTATAACTGGCGGTTCAGCTTCTTCCAGCGCTTCCGCTCGGCCTCCACGTGGCTGGCTCTGGGCTTGTTGGGACACGGTCCGAGCTTTCTCCCCTGCCGCGGCGTCGGAGCTCCTCGACAGCTCCGAGTCTTACAAGAGCAAGCCGCTTGTCAAACTGCATGTAGCCTAAAGGTTAAGGGCTAAGTTAATTTAAGATTAGATTATTTAAGGGTTAAGTTACTAGTTTAAGAAGGCTTTATACATCCGGTTGGACATAAAGGCTAAAAAAAATTTCCTTCTCTAATAAAAAAAGAGCAAGCCGCCTGTGACGACAAGCCACAGCCGTAGGACTATGAGCTCGTCGGTTCCTGCCTCCCTTCTCTTCTCCTCCGTCACTGTGGACCATTGGAGCCCTCTCGTCACTAGCGTCCAATGGATGCACATCCTCTCTAGTATTGCTGATGCAGTAGCAGCGGCTAACATGTGGGTGCGGGTCCACACGTCAGTGTCTACTACTGCATCAGTAGTATTGCTGACAATCCCAGCAGACGTCCCATCGCCATTGTCTTAAACTATAGTATTTATAAGGAGTAAAGTACACGGCCGGTCCTTAAAGTTAGAGCGCGGTGTCACTTAGGTTAATGATCTTAGAAAATCGATATTAGGGTCCGTGATCTTATTTAAGTGAATCCACTGCAACAAAACAACAAATAAAGACATTTGGCTGGAGACGAGACTTAAATCGTCTCTATTTTCTAGGCTACCCCGCCAATAAAGACGGTTTATGAGACGTTTTAAATAACGCCCTAGTTTTACATTGATTTCTCAAAAATTAAGATTTACATTGAATTTTTTTTTCTCCTGGAAACCACCCACGTCCTCATCCTCTCTGCGTGCTGCAACAAACTCCCATCTAGATTGAACTGCCTGCTTGGTGCCGCCGCCTATCTTCCACCGGTCGCCATCTCGATGCCTGCCGCCGGCTCGTCCTCGACCGGGGGCCAGCGGCGCCTCATCCTCGGCGAGTCAATGCCACATCTGCCTCCTCCTCCTCAGGCCGCCGCCCACCACTGCCTGCTCTGATCCTCGCCATAGGAGCCACCGCTGGCAGTTTGCCGCCTTATCAGCGACTCCCCGTCGCCAACGCGTCCCTCCCTCAGTTGCCTTCACCAGCCCAGCGACAACTCCACGGTGGTAGCTTGGTAGGTATGCTCTCTCATCCCCTAATCTGTAAGGCTTAAGGAACTACAAAGGTGCTTTGATTTGTTTGTGTGATTCAATTTGTCCAGACTTTATGTTGAGTTCTACCCCATCGGATTATTTCGTAATCCTGCAGAAGTATAAAAGAGTAAATATTGATCTGTACCTTTCGTTCTTTCTGCTTCAGGGATGAACCATCGTACTAGTTGTTTGACGAAATGCTAATACCAATACTTGCATGATGCAGATCTGATAATCAATTTGATGATTTGTGAACCTCTGTGGATCAATCAATACCAATATGTCGATCATTAAGGGCTCATTATAAATTCTTTTTTGCTACTGATTCCATTCCATTTGATGACTACATTTGGAATTTTAGCTTCAAGAAGGCACAAAAATACAGATGAGTATTGTTGAAGGTAACTTTTTTTTTTTTGCAGATTTTTAGGAAAAAATTCTGATGATGATACTTTGGGATTGTTGTATACTTTGTTCAGAAGGATAATCACTTGGTAATTTGGTATCGCTTGCAAAAAATTTATTTGGAGTATTGGATTGCATAACGCTGTGTTCTTTCCCCTGCTTTAGTTCAGCATTAATTAAGTAGTTTTAGCAACAAAATCACATTAAAACACAGAGAGGCATTGCTTTGACTCAACTCAATCTTCTAATCGATTCACTTTGAAATAAATATTGGTATTAATGCTTGTTTAACTTGGATCTCGGACACTAGTTCTGAATGATGCGATGGTTCTTCATACTGTCCTTCGGTGGCATATGAGTAAAGGAATAGAGATGCTGGTCCAAAATGGGAGATTTGCTTTCTATATGCTGAAGTTTCCAAAGTATTTACATGCAGGAGGGAGAGCAACTGCTAAAGTGTCAAAGGTATGGCCATCATAAGTTTTTACCTGTTACTTATAGTGATGATGAGAAATTCTAGCCACATAAAAAGTATAGAACAAGTAGCTATTAAGGTAAATTGTTGGATATCTGTAGGAGAATATTCTCATGTTAATACTGTAGTATGGCTATAGTCTCTTTGTTCAGAAATATACAAATTGAAGTGCTTTATTTTGTTTTACTTTATTAAGGGTCGATTTCAATAAATCTTTACTGAAGCTAGTAAACAATGCTAGGAATAAGCTCCTGACAATTATGAAATATGTGATGGGTGTATCTTCTATGAATCAATACATGTATAGATTGTCTAATTCTCTGTTTATGGCCTAGTAAACTTAGCTAGCTTTCTTACATTTTTTAGAAATCTTATCATGTACACTGATTTGGTTTACACAATTCATTTTAGAAGATACTGAAGATTGTAAAGGATTGCTACATCATGCTGTGAAGGAGGAGGAGATAAAGCAAGAATTATCTTAAGAACAGTTATAGATATATTTTATCATGCTGTGAAGAAGGGAGGAGATAAAACAAGAATTATCTTAGGAAGAGTTATAAATTTATTTTTCTAAGAGATGACGCAAATCTCTTTTTTCTGTATGGCTGTTTAGCTGACTTGTGAATCACAATTGTCCTTAATATAATTACCTTTCATCTATTGGAGTGTTTTACTGTTTACTGTCATTTTGGTATATATGTTGATGGCGATATATACTGCTCAGATGTGAATGCTGTAAATATGCCAAGCATGGCATCCTACAATGAATCGTATGTACACGTCTCAGTTACTCATAAGGACGCACCATGAGACACGTTATTGGATCTCATTTACAAAAGCGTCTCAACTAACGTAGGGACGCTATTTCATGTCTCAGATCTTGTAGAGATGCTATATGGAGCGTCTTTATAATTTTGAGACGGTCCTAACGGAGACGCTTCTGGGACGCTTTGCAGAAGTGACTCTATGTATGCCTAAAGACGGTTCAAAATGTCTCTAGACTATAAATAAGATATCTCTAAACACATGTTTTGTTGTAGTGTATCATTACGGTCCAAAACACATCTGACCGGGTTGATTGCCTTGCGTGGCGGTCCAACTTGGCAACATATTTGCATTTTGGCCCCCCGCATTTTACTTTCCTCGCGTATCCTACCCCCTTCTTCCCCAAATCTTCTTCTCTACCCACGGTGGCTACTGCCAAGGCGCCGTTGCGATCACGACCGTGTCGTTCGGCACGGCCGCCGCACGCTCGCCGTCGAGTACAACGTCGCGCAGCTCTCCAGGGGGTCGACGGAGGAGTGGAGGAAGGTGACATCGGAGGCACGGAAGTTGTCGAAGCACAACGTGTTCTGTTGGGCGTGCCTCGTGGACGACAAGGCCGTGCCTTGGCTGCTATGCTTCCTCTCCTCCACCACCGCCGCCATACAGGATAATGCCGTGGCGTCGCTGCTCAACCTCTTGAAGCACCCCGCCGGGCAGATGACCATCATGGAGGTCGGAGGCGTCGGCCTCGTTGTCGACGTGATCAACGTCGTTGCCAAGGCCGTGGCGCAGCATAACGTAGCGGCCATCCTCTTCTACCTCTCGTCGAACAACCCGGATGCATCCCGGAGGTGATCCCAACACTGGTCCAGCTCATCCTAGACGGCGTGTACCGCGACCAGAAGAACACCATGGTCAGCCTGTACGAGCTGCTCCAGAGAGCAGCCAACCAGGGCAGGGCCATCGCCGCGGGCACTGTGTCAGCCCTCGCCACCTTGCTCTCCACCGACCGCGACGACCTGGCCGGAGAAAGCATCGCGCTGCTGGCGAGGATAGCCGAGCAGCCATCGAGCGCCGTGGCCATCCTCTCGCAGCCGGGCCTCTTTGCCCACTTGGCCGCGTCGTCGTCATCTCAGTCGGTGAATGTCATCGAACAACGTGACGCGGCAGTACACAAAAACACTATTAAGCTGTTCATGACGAGAACGTCATTGCTGTTCTCGTCACGCCGTCCAGCTGTGCACACAGTTCGCTCTCCAAGAACGCAATCTCCTCGGAGCAATCCAACCAGCCACCGACCCTTACCCGGTAGAGCACTCACCTCATGTCGTTGGCATCCGGCGCAACGCGGTCCTTGAATTAATCCAAGATTGACCGCACGCTCCGCGCCGCGCGTTCGTCGGTGCCATCGGCCACATCGTTGCGCGCCATGCTAAGTAGAGGCTGGATCAGACGAGGGGGAAGCAAAATAATGCAGGGGCCAAACTGCAAATATGTTGCCACGCTGGACCGCCACGTAAGGTAGTTAACCCAGTTAGACGTATTTTGGACCACAATGATTCACTTAAACAAGATCACGGACCCTAATATCGATTTTCCAAGATCATGGACCTAAGTGACAGCACGCTCCAACTTTAAGGACCGGCTGTGTACTTTACTCTAATGTATCAAAGATTGGGAAAGTGATTTCATCCCTCGATGAAATATCCCCTCATTTTGTGCTTGCCACCTAAATAGTCACTGAAAACTTTGAAAAAAATTGGTAAGATAGATTAATATGAAATATATCACTCCACAAACATGCAAGTTAAAATTCAAATGTTACAAGTTGTCGCAAAAATAATATGAAATATATCACTCCACAAACATGCAAGTTAAAATTCAAATGTTACAAGTTGTCGCAAAAATAATATGAAATATATCACTCCACAGGCATGCAAGTTAAAATTTAACTTTTACAAGTTGTAACAAAAAATAATAAATATAGCTACGAATGTACAATAACTATTTTCAGTTTATTTTGTTCTTTTTGTTACAACTTATAGAAGTTGAATTTGGCTTGCATGTTTGTGGAGTGATATATTTTATATTAATCTATATTGTTAATTTTTTTCAGTTTTGTTATAACTATTTAGATGACAATGCAAATGACAATGGGGCATCTCCTCAAGAGATGAAAACCATATCCATCAAGATTTATTTGAACATAAGTGGTTTCGAAAGAAAAAATAGTGGATGGAGACGTAGAGTCATGACACATCTCTAGCACTTCACCAACTTTTCTTTTATTTTCAGTTGTAATACGTATTAGTATAACTTTAAGTTTTACTTTTATTTTTACATATACTAGCTTGGTGGCCCGCGTAGATTTCGCGGCTAGCATCATTATATTTTTTTCTCATATAATAACATATATGTTTTCTCAATTTATTATTAAAATATATTAAAATGACAGCATAATTTTAAATTTTGAACCAACTTTACAAACTACAAGTGTGTAATATTCATATTGTATTTTATACATGTGTTAGTTATTAATTATTTTTAATATCAAATTTTAGTTATTTCTAAATTATATTCCAATATGGACTCTGGACTCGTCTTTGAATGTTTCTTATTTTTTAATTTCTAATTTTCGTTATCTGTAGACTCTAGGCTCTTCTTTTAATATTATTTATTTTTAATTCTGAATTTTTATTATTTCTAATGGACTTTAAACTCATCTTTCAATATTCTTTAATTTTAATTTTGAATTTCAGTTACTTCTAAATTGAATTCCTATATTGTCTTTAGACTCTTCTTCCCATGTTTTTTTTAATTTCTAATTTTAGTTATTTGTAAATTGTATTTTTATACGGACTCTAAACTCTACTTTTAATTTTATTATATTTATTCCGAATTTTCGTTAGTTTTAAATTCCTATATATACTCTATACTCTACTTCTAATATTCCTTATTTTTAATTCCGAATTTCTATAATTTCTTAATTTCTTAATTGTATTTCTATAAGGACTCTATACTCTGCTTCTAATGTTATTTAATTTTTAATTTCGAATTTTAGTTATTTCTAAATTATATTAATATATGGACTCTAGTCTCCTCTTCTAATATTACTTATTTTTTAATTCTGAATTTTAACTATTTCTAAATTGTATTTCTATATGGACTTTATTTTTCTTTTTCTCCGATTAATATGAGAATTTCTAGGCCGTGAGAGCGAACGTGGATGCTTTTTTTTATTCCTTTAATAAGTTATTAGATTTGACACAAACTAACGGTTGGTTGAATTATTAGCACGCGGTTTCTAATAGCAGTTTAAGGGAAATTTCAAATGCAACTTGGATCAACTATGAGTTGTTGAATAGTGTATATAAGATCGAGTAACCTTCATCAAACCAACACCACGAAAAAGACGACAAGGAGGGACACAGGAAACATGTCATCCAGCACTGCTGCCATACTAGCCCTCGTCATCATCCTCCTCCCGCCGATAACTCTCGCCGGCGATCTTCATGGCTTCCGCGCCACTCTTACTCGCATCCACGAGCTCTCCCCCGGCAAATACTCGGAAGCGGTACGCCGCGACAGCCACCGCATCGCTTTTCTCTCCGACGCCACCGCAGCCGGCAAGGCCACCACCACCAACTCGTCGGTCAGTTTCCAGGCACTGCTTGAGAACGGCGTGGGAGGGTACAACATGAACATCTCCGTCGGCACGCCGCTACTCACCTTCTCGGTCGTGGCCGACACCGGCAGTGACCTCATCTGGACGCAGTGCGCGCCGTGCACCAAATGCTTCCAGCAGCCTGCGCCGCCATTCCAGCCGGCGAGCTCCTCCACCTTCTCCAAGCTCCCGTGCACCAGCTCCTTCTGCCAGTTCCTACCCAACTCCATCCGCACGTGCAACGCCACCGGCTGCGTCTACAACTACAAGTACGGCAGCGGCTACACCGCGGGCTACCTCGCCACCGAGACGCTCAAAGTCGGGGACGCCTCTTTCCCCAGCGTCGCGTTCGGGTGCAGCACGGAGAACGGCGTGGGCAACTCGACGTCGGGCATCGCGGGTCTTGGCCGCGGCGCGCTGTCCCTCATACCGCAGCTCGGCGTCGGCCGGTTCTCGTACTGCCTCCGCTCCGGCTCTGCCGCCGGCGCCAGCCCGATACTGTTCGGCTCCCTGGCCAATCTTACGGACGGAAATGTCCAGTCGACGCCGTTCGTCAACAACCCCGCGGTACACCCCTCGTACTACTACGTCAACCTCACCGGCATCACCGTCGGTGAGACGGACCTCCCGGTGACGACCAGCACGTTCGGCTTCACGCAGAACGGCCTCGGCGGCGGCACGATCGTGGACTCCGGCACCACGCTCACGTACCTCGCCAAAGACGGCTACGAGATGGTGAAGCAGGCCTTCCTGTCCCAGACGGCTGACGTGACCACGGTGAACGGCACGCGCGGCTTGGACCTGTGCTTCAAGAGTACCGGCGGCGGCGGCGGCGGCATAGCCGTGCCGAGTCTGGTGCTGCGCTTCGATGGCGGAGCTGAGTACGCCGTGCCAACTTACTTCGCCGGAGTTGAGACGGACTCGCAGGGCAGTGTGACCGTAGCGTGCTTGATGATGCTGCCGGCGAAGGGTGACCAGCCGATGTCTGTCATAGGCAACGTGATGCAGATGGACATGCACCTGCTCTACGATCTCGACGGCGGGATTTTCTCCTTCGCTCCGGCGGATTGCGCCAAAGTGTGATTTGTACCGTCCGTTTGGTTACTGTATTAACCGGCGAGAGTAATAAGTCTACGAGTGCCTACCTACCATATCAGCCATTTGATGTTGCTGTTGGTCAAGTCTTTCTTCTTGTTTTGCACATATCGTCCTGAGTCAGTCCGTCTGCTGGTTCCTTAATATGTGGTGATGAATGAATTCTATGTTCCGTGCCTTTGAATTAACTGTGCTTTCGGGTGACTTTCACTCTTTCAGCGATTAGTCCAGATTCAACAAATTCTTGAAAAGAATGGGAGTAGGTATTGGCCTTTTTAGCTAAGATCGATATAATATGGCTACTTTTCCATCTTATCCATGACGGAGTAAATGACGTTGAAACCCCTAATATATAGAGACTAAGGACTTCAGCTTAGTAAGCATGCATCTCAAAGCATGACAATGAGATGTAAAAATAGTACTACTACATTAGTTTTTATTTTTACATGTCGTTTTAGACATTGACATAACGTGGAATGTAAATATCTGATCATTACATTTTTAACTTATATATATTTATAAAAAAAATATAAAAGTATAGCAATATAAAAGTGTTTTCACAAAAAATATACTAACACTATTTTTATTTATTAAATCATAATTTATTTCGTCTACTAATGATTTATGGTTTTTTTGATGAAAATTATTGATGATTTTGATATTTAAAAACAGATGTACTCCCTCCGCCCTAAAATATAAGAACTTAGAACCGGATGGAATGTTTCACAGTACAATGTATATGTCCGTCTGTCCAGATGCGTTATACTAAGAAACATTTCATCCGGTTCTAGGTTCTTATATTTTGGAACGGAGGGCTGTCCAGATACGTTATACTATATGAAACGTCCCACCCAGTCCTACATTCTTATATTTTGGAACAGAAAGAGTAGATGTCGTCAGATGGATGTACTAGGTTGTTTTTACGATCAATTCATAACATGGGGCGCTGCATAAGTTGCAAGCTCAACTTGCATTGGCCAATGGAAACATTGATTTTGACAACTGTTGCAGTGATCTCTAGCTACTAGGGGTAGAATTAAGGTAAATTGTTCATTTGCATAAATATATATATATATATATATATGTGTGTATGTATATATATAAATATATGTATATATATATATATATGTATGTATGTATGTATATATATATATATATGTATGTGTGTATGTATATGTATATATGTGTGTATATATATATACATACATACATACATACATACATACATACATACATACATACATACATACATACATACATATATATATATATATGTATATATATATATATGTATATATATACATATATATATATATACATATATATATATATATATACATATATATATATATACACACACACATACATACATACATATACATATATACATATATACACACACACACACATATATATATACATATATATATACACACACACACATACGCATATATATACGCATATATATATATAATGGATATATTTCTTTTAAATAATCATAATTTTACAAAACAAAGAATCTACCATCATATAACAAAGAAACTTCCTTTCTAATAATGCACTATTTAAAAATAAATTTTACACATTTATATTCTGACCCTATTAAACGCTCTCAAGCCGCCAAGTGGTGCTCTAATAAAATAGAGAAAATCCTCGAAATTCTAAGATAAAACAAATCATCTACCCCTTAATTTTCACTTAAATTTGTAAGTCCAATATTATACACCGTTAGATAAAATTGATCTTAAAATAAACTAAATACCATGGGTCCCACCTATCCTCCTCCCGCGCGTTGGCAGGTGGAGTATATACGTACGTACATGTATGTATTCTTCCTTTCTTTTCCTTTTTTTTCCTTTTTTTCCTTTTTCCATTTATATATATATAATGGATATATTTTTTAAATAATCATAATTTTACAAAACAAAGAATCTACCATCATATAACAAAGAATCTTTCTTTCAAATAATGCACTATTTTAAAATAAATTTTACACAATTATATTGATATGTACCTATTAAATAAACAATATCTATATTAACTAATTTATACATGCGTTTAAACTGATGGCCCCATTATATAAATCATCGGATCTACTTTTTATTACATTGGTATATTATTCTCAAGTAATGCACTGTTTCAAAATAAGATCTACACCATTATATTGCGTACCCATTAAATTAACAATTTAAAATCTATATTAACTAATTTAACTTACACTAGAACTGGTGGACTTATTATTATAATCATCGGATCTATTGTTTGCTAATAAATAAAGCGTCCGAAATTTTCTTTTTGCCCGCTGCATAATACACGTCTGCACCTTTGCCTTTCGCACGTGTGACAAAGTGTAGTGTCTGAGACATATAAGGTGATCACAACCGCTGTAGAGCTACCACTTTGCCACAAATCAAATCATATATAGAGATGATTAATTTTGTTAATAACATAAAAAGAAAATTAAATGTGTGATGCAGTGAGAGAATAATTAAGCACAATGGATTGTGTTTTTCTCAACACTAATTAGCTCTGTTTAAGTTGAAACCGAGAGTTGATTACATAATAATTATAATGTATCTATGTTATGTCGTATTTGGATTTTGTACTATTTGTTCGTATAGGTGAAAGGAATTATTATGTTATAAATGTGAGCGCAATATTGACGAATATTAATAGAACTCTTACTACGATAAGGGTGATAAAAGGAGTTTAAGGCCCTCTCTTTTTTTTCCCGATTTTATATTTTGGATTTTTGTTTGCACGCTTTCCAAGTTTCTAAATAGTGTATTCTTTAAATTAACAACATTCTAACTTTTTAGAAGTCAATTCATTCGTTTATACCCTCAAAATAATATCACATAAATTATATAATTCATCAATTTCAGCTATCCTAAACCTTAAGTACTACATTTTTTTTCATGCGAGTCATGGTGATAAATTATTAAAGTCGCAACATGAATATGTAAGAGTTACTCTGAACAATTGTAAATAGGTGTCATAATTGCTATTAATTAGACATCTAATGGCTTGCAAGCCACAAAATTAATTTCACTCTATATGTATATAAACATGGACGAAGCTAGAACAAATATTACCATATGTCCCATACATATATATTGCACAGTTAATATTCTAATTACATGTGTTAAGTCATTTAAAATTCCTTAAAATGCTCTCAAGCTGCGACGTGGTGCTCTAATAAATTAGGGCAAATATTAGAAATTCTAAGAAAAAAACAAAGTATCTATTTCTTGATTTTTCACTTAAATCGCTAGGTCCAATATTATAAACCGTTAGATTAAATTGATCTTAGAACAAACTAAATACTACGAGGTCCCACCTCTCCTCCCACGACATAGGTACGCACCTACCTGCATGGGTACGTATGTTTCCCCTCCCTTTTTTCATTTTTTCTCCTTCTTCTTTTTTTTTCCCATGCATATGCTTCCCTCTCTTTATTACTATATCATGCACCTTCATGAGACAATTTAATCAAAGAATTTTGAGTATCTTGCACTCGCATTTTTCATTTGCGGTCATACTACACGGTACGCATATAGATGGACTATATGATAATTAACTAGCAATAGTTTTTTCTTTACTCGAGAAAAAAGAAACATGATTCAAAAATCGTAAGTACTTAATCCATCTCCTTCTCAAAAGTTTGTGAATAGTTTTTTAAGATACGTTAAGAAAAATAGAACCCTTAAATTATTATAAAATAACATTATCTAAACTTTAGTTTGCCCTTAATCTATGAGACAAAATTTCTGAACAAACAATAGTCTTACCTTTCAATAATATAAGTGCCCGCGCATACGCGCGGGCCACCTTCCTAGTTAGTAGAATATGAAACCACGAAAATTTAGATTATATGGCACCCTTGAAAACCACAAAATAAAACTCCACTAGGAATGGTCTAAGGGAACTCGAAGAGGGTATCAGAGTGACACATAGGACAAGATCATATTTCTCTAATCTATTTATCCCATGATGCGAAGTGACTCTAGGGGTGAATTCCATTTTTCATGTCAACTCTTAAAATTTTTCGCTTCAATCCACACATTTTTTTTAATTTACAGAGTAATCCAACATTTTATGTTGGAATTAATGAATGGGCCTTAGCCCACTCGAAGATTAATTCTTTGGAAAATCACAAAAGCCCACCTCATGGGATGGCATGCATGTGGAGTTTAGTACCGCCTTGCTTATTCTAGGAGAGGGGGACCTCCTTAAAAGGGAGGATGCCCTCCTAGTCGCTTGAAGCATGTGTGGTGGAGAGAAGAGGGGAAACATACGCGCGCGCTCGCTCACCTCGCCTGGCCGGGCCGGGCCGGGCAGGGCAGGCGGCGCGCGTGCACGACGTACGCGTCGAATGGTCCGAAAAATTGGCTCCTCACCCTTGCGCAGATGCAGCCTCCTTTTGCAGTTTTGTTTTGTTGCAAATTCGGATTCGTTTTTGTTTTGGAAACGTTCCGAAAGATCCGGTGCGTGCAAACGGCGTGGAGTCCGGATAAGTTACGCGCGACTTATCCGGTTCGGTTACGCGCAGTAGAGATCGTGCGGGCGCCCTGATCAAGCGACCCTTCTCTATATAAACCGACCTGCCGTCTTCACGCAACATACAAAAAATCAATCTAGGGTTTGCCTCCTACTCTGTACTGCACCGTCGCTCATAGACTACTCCATCCCGCTCGCCGGCGTGCACCGGCGATCGGGAGAGTAGGTCTCCGGAACCTCTGCCTTCGACGTTCTGCACCGGGAGAAGGCGGCAATAAGGTTTTTGGGAAGCGTTTCGCGCGACTGCTCCCTGTTCGTTCGCGACGGCTCGCCTTCCTCTTCGCTCGCGTGTTTCGTGCCTTCGTAGACACTTGCGAAAAGTTTCGACCAAGCAGCCGGTCTTTCCGTCACCTCGGTACGTGTTCAATATGTTGCGCATATTTGATCTGTTCATGTTATACTGTGTAGTTTACATGTGTAGATCTAATGATGCGTTCATGCTAGTTTTCATCTGTAATATCATGATTTATTTATGGAATAGATTAAATCATTATATGTCTATAATCTCAACAATCCAAAAACCTTATTATAGGCACTGTGATTTTACTATGGCTGGTTTTGCCGATGCACTGAGGCCGGATAAATTCACCGGTGTGCATTTTAAGAGATGGCAGATCAGGGTCACTCT